TTGGGGTTGGGGAAATGATGCCCACCTATTTTCTGATTTTAAGTTGGCAAGAAGCCTAACTTTCTGCTGGAGTAATTTGGAGGCATAGTGGTGAAGCACCTCAACACTCACTAACTCTGGGTACTGATACCTGAGCACAAAAATGTCGGGGGCTGAGTTGGGTTGTGGGGGAGCTGAACAGGGCAGCCAGAGGTGGAGGTGGAAGAGATGAAGCACTTCTTGGGTGGTTCTGCACTTTTGTTTCCCCTAGGTGTTATGGACAGACAGACTATGTAGCTCACATTGTTTGGCTTCTTGTGTTCAGGCTTTGCCTGTTCCAGCTGCCTTGGCCTTGGTGTGATGGGGACCCAGGTGGTTGTTTTCTCAGCCTGTGGAAGGCTGAAGACTCGGCGCCTGTTTTCTGACCTTTCTCTCTCTGTAGCAGATGGTATTGTTGCGTGCTCTCTTTTCCTAATGAAAGAGCTCATTCATGCCATTGAGGGTAGACTCAGCTCTGCCTTCCTCCATCTGCCTGAGACTGCGCCCTCCACCTCTGTTGGGAAGCCGTCCTCATGTGCTGACTTCCTCATATTGGCCTGGTGCTGTGCACTGTCCTGGGTAGCACCAGCTGCTCTGTGGCTGAGGCCAGAACAAGGGAAATGCAAAACGGCTCCACTAGCGAGAGGAGCCATCTAAGATTGTAGAGGGCTCAGGGCAGTATCAGTTGTCCTGATTGAATTCTGCGTATTTCAGAAAACAGCCTCTGGGAGGGAGCTAAGTTCATCTCTGGAGCCTGCGTTCCAGTCCCCTCCTTCTAGTTATGAGGAACCCTGAGGCCCAGGAGGATTTTAGCTCAGGCTCTGGAAGTTATTTTCTCATCTCATCTCTGTCTTTGGTGTGTTTGCCGTGACCCACAACTCTTCATGCTTTAAAAGCCTTTGTGTACCTCATGTTTAACATTTGTAGAAATGTTTTCCACTTCCTCTGCTTTCACATCAACTGTTTAATTCTTGGAGGACAAACTTCTGTCCTCCTCACTCCCCAGTTAAGTTGCGAACAGCCTTATTGAAAATTCCATGAGCAGCTGTGGTGCCTGAGACCATGTGGCCCACACCTGCCTCTTCTAACCTGCCCCGTGTGGTGTCACCATCCAGGAAGCTACTGAGTCCCACAACTCTGCCTGCCTCCCTGGTGGGGATTTTAAATTGAGCGCTTTCCTCTGGACACACAATGTTCTGATTCATCATCCTCAGTCCTGTTATTCAGTTGCTATTCTGCTCAGCTCCTTTGTGTTATCATGGTTTAGCTGTTAATCCAGGGCTCCCTTTTGGCCTCAACAATTAAGATTTGGCTTCTTAAATTATCTTTGGGTCTGACACCATCCTTCCTTGCCCCCGCCCCACTTTGGCCCTGTTTTGTTCCTGAAATACAGCTTCTGTGATAAATTTGCTCTCCATCCCCTCAGCAAGGTTCCCAAACTGTGGGATGTCTAACCCCCAAGTAAGGTGACTTCAGCTTGTTCCAAGATCAGCAGTCCCCCTGGGAGAAGGGCACATTTACTTTTTCAGTTTCCCACAGTCCTGTTCACTTTGAGGAGAAAGTCTTGTCGGGTGCTAATCTCCCTTTGTGCACACTGAGTGCCACTCAGAATCTTGGGCCAGCAGCCACGCCGGTGTTGTTTTCATTGTACTTACTTTTACACTGCCTTTCTCTTCATAACAGCTGTTGCTGGTTTTTAAGTTAATGACTTTTCTTTTTCTCTTTATGTTTAAAATTTCCAAATCTACAAAAAGTAGATTTACCAATTAATGTTTGACACATCTGCTTTATCAGTGCACAGGTTTTTTTCCCCCCCTAAATCCTTTGGAAGTGAGTTGCAAATGTGGTACTTCATGTACTTGAACGAATTATTCTTATTCTTTGAGAATAAGGGCATTGTCTTGAAAGCAGAGACTTCAGCAGATATTTGTATACCCATGTTCATAGCAGTATTGGTCATAATGGCCAAAAAGTAGAAGCAGCCTAAGTGTCCATGGATGGATGAATAAACAAATATGGTATATCCATACAATAGAATATTCAGCCTTGAAAAGAAAGGAAATTCTGATACATGCTACACATGGATGAACCTTGAAGATATTATAGGTTAAGTGGAAGAAGCCAGTCACGAAAGGACAAATGCTGTGTGATTCCACTTATTTATGAGATAGTTAAAAAGTAGTCAGATTCATAGAGACAGAAAGTAGAGTGAATGGTGCTTACTAGGGGCTAGAGGGAAGAGGGAATGGAGAGTTAATGTTTAATGGGTACAGAGTTTCAGTTTTGCAAGATGAAAAAAGTTCTGGAGATGGATGGTGGTGACAGTTGCCCAACAGTGTGATTGTATTTAATGCCACTGAACTGTATGCATAAAAATGGTTAAAATGGTAAATTTTATGTATATTTTGCCATTATGTTTTTATCCTCTTTCCCCTTCCTTCCTTCCTTCCTTCCTCCCTTCCTTTTGCACTGTCCTGTAAAACCACAATAAACATTGTGGAAAATCAACAATAATTGCATCCCATATTAAGATTTCCCAATTGTCTCCCAAAATGTCTGTCTCGCCCATTCAGACAGGTTCACACATCCATGTGATATGTTAATGTTTTCTTTTAAATACATATATTTTAAGTTTATAAAGAGCAAGTTGATATAAAGCACAAGTGAATCAGGGTGATAAAGGTGGTAGATGTGGACTGACCAGGGTCAAACCCTGAATGCGTAGTGGTCTTGGTCGCTGTGGCTCTGGAGCTGAGTTCCTAGAGTGTATGCCCCAGGCCTCCTAGCTTCTACAGGAGGAACCTTCTATATCTTTACAGTAAGGGCAGCACTAACCTCTTAAACATCAAAATGTGATCGTGTGACTGAGAAACTGGATTTTTAAATTTTACTGAATTCTAATTTTAATTTTAAAACTGATGTCAATTGGAGAACATTTAAGTATATTTGGAACATCTTAGGTATGTGAATCTACTTTTTAAACCTCACACTTCATGAAATCTAAATAAGATCAAATATTTTGAATGAAAATTTAGCTCCTGAATTGAGATACGCTGAAAGTGTGGAGAACACACTTGGATTTCAGACATTTAGTATGGGGGGATAAAATGTCCTTTTTTATAGTGATTCTACATTGAATCATTGATCACACATTGAAATGATATTTTAAGTGTATTGGATTCAGTGAAATATACTTTTAACTTCACCCTTTTACATTAATGTGGCTACTAGAAAATTAAAGTGTTTGAGTGGTCACATTTATTTCTATAACACACATATAGATGTGGTGCAAGTGTAAAGAGTCTATTCCTCTGCAGCAGCCTGCGCGGCCACCCTCCACCAGGTTTTTCTCTTATTTCCCTTTCTGGGCTACTGAAAACCTATTATTTTGGGTGACTTCTCTGCTGAATTCTTTCTCATTGGTCCTTCTGTCCTAATAAGGCCTGGGACCTGTGAGTACCAGAACCCTGGGCACACCTCTTGAAGCCTTTGCTTCTCCACTGTTAGACTGGTGAAGGGAAGGGGCTCAGCCACATCTCTCACCTGAGTAAGGCTGGCAGGGGAGGAACGTGGCCACCCATCCTTGTTACTGGTAACATGATGAGAACACTTTTCTGACCCTCTTCTGTCTAGCTCTTTGCCCAAGGTCCCAAGCAGCACAGAGGTATGGGAATCATTGGTGGGAGGGCATTGAGACCCCAAAGAAGGTACTGGGGGCACCAGCCCCGTTCAGCTCTGCTCTCTCCTGTGTGAGACATGTCCAGTATGGAGTCTTGGAGAGCTCATAGAATCGCATAGAGTGATGTGGTGAGCTGGGGACAAGCTGCCCAGCACGTGGGTCTCTAGCTTTCCTGGTGCATGACTCACAAATCAGTTGCTAAACTCAGTGAATGCAGGTGGCATTTTCACTCACAGGGATGCATATGCACATAGTTTTTATTTAGTCATTCTGTGCTCTACATCCTGGTTTTGAAGCATCGTTTGTGATGAATGTTTGTTCCACATCCTTAAATACTTTTCAAGTTTTAACGCAAAGACGGCAAGGAGTTCAAATGCTGCAAGTTCACTGAAAGTATGAACCTGTGCACTGGGGCTTTTTTTGTTTTTGTTTTTGATGAGCTGACAGCTCCTCTCCAATGAGCAGCTCTTATTTTCCTAAGTGAACTAAGGACAAGCTGCCCTGGCCTTGTCTGCTAGGGAGTAAACCTGGGCTGTGCAACAGAATCTAAGTCTGTGAGATGTCTGGCTGCAGCTGAGGATCCCCTAGGGCTCAGCCCCTAGGGCTGGCTTTGCCAGTGGTCACTGCCTGAGGAGGGTCCTGCTGCCCAGGGCACAGCAGGCTGCAGGGCTCCTGCGAGAAATCAGAACACTTTGCTTTGTTCCCCCTGTTCTTCCCAACGCCTGCTCTCCTGTCAGTGTCAGCTGGATCAGTTGGCTCCTGTGGGTCACTTCAGCGGAAGTCAGGTGGGATTCGTGGCAAACAAGAATGTTAGTTTTCACGAAGCAGCAGATCCCTGTGAAGTTCTTAACTTTCCTTTCCGTTCTCATCTGAAATTGTGTTAATTTTGGCTTCTTCGCACTCTGAAAGTTACTGAGATCTAGAGGAGGTTGGTTATTTAAATCCATGCATACAGTTCAAACTGACATGGTTAGGTTGTTACAGCAAAAGGAGACACTGAGTGTTCGCACAGGGCAGAAGCCTTCTTGTGCATGGAGAGGTGGCTTACCCCTACCTATCAGGAAGTCACTTTTGTGTGGGAGCCAGGGCCCGTCTGCCTGTTTCCCTGAGGCTGCTTGACTGTCAGAGCACTGGCCCTTGCTGTACCCTTGGGAGCACATGTCTAGTTTAGACACTGTCACCTCTCACTGTTATTTGGGTTCTATACTTGATGAAAAGTAAGGCAAGATGAGAGGAAAAGTAATCTTAGCCGGAGCCACTTCTTGAGAGTGCCTGATGATGACAGATGTATCCTTTTTCTCAGATCTTTCTTCTAAAATACAGCTTCACAGTGAAGGTCAGAGGATAATATCATTAAAGAAGAGGTCACCCATAAGCATCAGCTCTTTATCAAGGTAACTGGATTCCTGCATCTCTAAACCCTGAGTCGCTGTGTGCCTTGTCCTTGATAGATGCATCTGCTCCTTGGTGTGCCTCCATGTCTCCTCCTGGCCTTTGAAGGCCTAATTGGCCTTCCCTCTCAGTGAGGACTCTCGGTAGCGAGGGCTGAAGTATCACTTGGATGGCAGATTGTGGTGTCTCTGGAAGCTCTCGTGCTAGGCTTGTACCCTGAGCCCCTTTTGTCCCCAGTAATCGTAGGTGGATCCCTTTGAGTCTCCCTCTCAGCTGCCATTCTGCTACTTTGAAGAGAAGCTTAGAGGCATGATGTACTCTTAGAGATACCTTCCACCCTGCCAGCCTTGCCTACTCATGGAGGCTGCTTCCTGGGGGATGAAATTGTAGGCAAAATTGGTTGGAATATCACCTTTCCCACTCATGGGTCTGTTCACTAGTTGAATATTGTTTCTGCTTAAACACAGCAGGACTGTATGCCTGTGAGCTGACGTGTTCTGGAACTTTTCAGCCACAGGCAGTGGACTACCTCTCCCCTGTATGGTGCTAGCCATTGGCTGTTGCATTTGATTTACCTTTCTCTTGGCCTCCCAAATTCCCAAACAGCTTGACTTTCACCACCTACTTGGAGGTCAACTCTAATGTGTTTCCATGGTGTTTGCTGTGCTGGAAACCACTTAGTTGTCTTTTTTGTACTAGTTTTAAATTTTATGAGGATCATGAACTTGGATTTAATCCTTCTGTTGTAAATGGGAGGCTTCAGAGAACCAGTGTGACATCGCCCTCAAAAATTTTTTGATCTACAACTGGGCAGCCCAGGACTGTACTGGCAGCCTGGTTTGGCTAATCCTAGTTTCTCACTCTTACTCTTCATTTCAGTAATTTATCTTTTGAAAAGTGAACATCACCTCCCATTCTTGCTGCCTTGCAGATTCTTCTGTTCTCCATTATTCCAGTGCTTGCTCCCAACTGGGAAACTCTCATCTAAGTAGAGTGCTTGGCCTCACTACCTGCCTTGGCTTTATGATCTGCATGACTCTGGCCATATCAGAGTGCACCTCTCAAAGGAGGATTTTTCTACGTGAAATAACATTCCTGTTTTGTTGCGTCTCATATTACAGTGTGGGTTAATCTTAGCGTTACATACACCACAGTAGCTGTTTTGGAAATAAAAATAAAAGGTGTAAAAGTAAAGACAGAGGAATGGGAGTAACAACTTTAAAAGAGGCAACCAGAAATAATATCACTCTTAACCACCTTACCTGTAAAGGGCACAACCTGAGACATAGGTCGGTGGGAACGCAGGGTTTGAATTAATGGCATTGTGTTTCTGTCAATCTTTCAGCCTCTTAATTTGGAGACTTCCCCAGGTCAAGGCTGCTTTGAGAAGCAGTGCCTGGAGGCCGGCTCACTAGATTGAGGCAGACTGATCAAAAGACCACACCAACAGAGACATCAGTGGGAGCTTCTGAAAGGGGGTGCATTGTTGGCTGGTTGCTTGGTTTTTAAATATAAATAGGTATAGTCTTCCACAAACCCACCACTGTATCCCACTTCATTTTGTGGTTTCATGTACCCACCCACTTGCACATCTTTACTTAATTTCATCTGTAAGTTTGCATTCTGCTTTTCTAACATAACGTTTTTTTAATCTGCATTTCCCTCATTTTGACACAAAGTCTAGAAATCTGTGGAACAGGGGTTGCAAACTAAGGCCTGTAGACCAATACAAGTTTTATTGGCATGTGGCCACAGTCATTTGTCTAAAGATTGTCAGTGGGCTGCTGTAACAGTTCTGCAACAACAGAATGAAGTATTGCAAGGACTGTGTCTTGCACAGCTGACTTTATTTACTCTTTGGCCCTTTGTAGGAAAAACTAGCCTACCCATGCTGGTATATGTTTTAGCAGTTTTGATCTTGTCCACATCAAAGTTTTGTTTTCATTTTAACTGCCTGCCCCTCTAAGGAACATTTTAAGTTCACAAATCCATCCTCCAAGATTTAACCATCAATAGCATGATGTAAGCCGAATGTAACAATAGAACCTTTTTATACTGTACTTCCAGCTGCTGACAGCTTTCACAGGGAAAAGACAGTACAAAATTCTCACTGCCCCTAAGTTAATGTGCCTGCTGATTGGTTTCTAAAGCAGAGGGGCTGGCTGGAATTCTGATTGACAAGGTTGTGGCCTGTCTGGGCCTGGATCCTGGTTTTCCTGGCTGCGTGGTCCTTGTATAGCTGATTCCCTCTCATGGGGGAAAGAGCGCTTGAGTGTGTCTACACACCCTGGCAGGAAGACTGACTCATCTTTGTCTTGGGTTGCCTGGTTTAAGGCAAGCTGCAGGCTTGAGGCTTGAGGTTATAGGGCCTTGCCTGGCAAAGTCCAAGGGGGCAAAGGGGTAGGCCGTGTACAAGCTACGTGAAGGAGGATTAAGACTTCTAAGAGCTGCCTCAGGGCACAGGCACTGGCCAGACTCCAGACAGCTCAGTCTGGCTGATGACACGAGTGCTGTTCTCATCAGTTGCTAGAGCTGGTCAGATGGAAAAGTAATCCTGTTTGTGCTTCCCCACTGACATAGGTCACACAGTGAAACAGGGGCCTTCACTATGAATGGGAAGGAGCTTCAGCTCTGGGATCAGGAGGAAACAGACCTGATACTAGTTTTCTGGAACCTGTGTAACATTTCAAGAAAAAATGTTCTTAGTAGCAGATAAGATTTGCTGCGAATTGAATAATGTTAAGAAATTTGCTATTTTTTTAAACCAAAGTTAAGGTCCCCCATCCCCTTCTCTTAGTCCCTAAGTAGAATCTCACTCTTCCCCCAAATGATTCTTTAAAGGGGAGCCTTGCAGTGATGGAGAGGTGACCTTCTCTGTCTGAAGGGTATGTGTGTACTACTGTGAACTTGTAATTTCATAAGAGGCTGAGGTCAGCTGGCATTGGCCAGCATTTTTCTTGGTCTGAGACAAGTTCAATCCATGGCCCTTTGGGCCCTTCAATGCTTGGGAAGCATGAATAACAATTTGGTCTCTGCTTCCCTTGACCCCACACCCCATGGCATCAGCAGGGAAGTGTGATGCTGATTTCACCTGTGATTTGGACCAAGTCACAGTTGACCAGGTGCTGCCAGAGTTATCTTGACTTTGATTTGTTTAGGGGAGTGAAATTCTTTGGAAATTAACCTCACTTTCTTGAGGGTTTTGTGACATTCAGCTATTTCTTCAGAGAGGGCAGGTCTGTTGATAGTACATGCCAGGACGTAGATGTGGGGTGGGGGTGCCCTCTGCCAAACCACAGACCCTCCTGGCCCACCAATGCTGGTTGACTGGGCCTCTGCCCCTGGGCTTGGTGAGCACAGGCACTCAAGGGACACACAACCCTGGGTGACCTCCGGCTGACCACCACCCACTCTTTGTTGCCAAGAGAATGAAGATGAAGGTAATGATGCCACCACCTGCCTTGTAGGCTTGCTTTGAAGATTAAATAAGTAAATACAGGTCAAGTGTCAAGTACGGGGCATCAGCCCAGGAAGCGGCTGGTCCCTACTGGCGAGCTTTCCTAGGCCCTAGTGCAGATGTGTGTTTTGGTAGCTCGCATAAAGTTCTGCCAAGTGTGGTTTCTGTATTTCACAAAAGAGTTCATGAAGCCTTCCAGTTAACCTGCACTGCTCCTGCCTTCCCTTCCATCTTGCTGCCTACATGCTGTGTCACTTTAGGGAGGAGAAGAGAGTCAAGCTGTGGTCTCTGGGCTTCGTGGGCTCTCTGGGAGACCAAGACTTAAGGTGGAACTATAGGTACAATGTATAGCTGGTCACCCTCTCACAATGGACAGAACTTGAACTTAATCTCCAGGGATCAGTCTTTCTCTTTACCTCTCTTGCCTTCCAAAGCCCAGACCCAAACCTGCCCATTATCTTTCTTTCTCTGTCTCAACTCCTAATCTCCAGAAAAGAAAATACTGTTGAAGTTTGAAAAATGTTACAGTTGTGTTGTCTGCTAAATACTATCTGTCCTTAAAATTTTCTCAAATCACTTAGATGAGTTGGAATGATAGGAAAGAACATCCTTGAAAGCAGGAATGCTTAATCAAGGGTTTATAAACATAGGGAAAGAATTTACATTTTTATTTTCATTAGCCCTTCGGTTCCCAAACTTTCTTGGTTCATAGTGCCCTTAGCATCTCAATTTTTTCATCATGATCTTAGGCCAAAGGAAATACTTAACAATTTCATTAGGTAGTTAGATATAAACAAATGAATATGTACTAATGTCCTGACAACTGTATATAGCTGTTTGAAAAAAATAAAAGACATAAATTGAAAGGAAGAAATATTACATCCTTGCATAACTACAGCCAGTTCCTAATGGAATGTGTGCCAGTTGGGTACTGCACAACTCTTCAAACGTTAGAACCAGATCAGACACCCACTGCCCACATTTTCTGTGTCCCACGTTGATTTTTACATGGTACAGTCATCCCTTGGTATTCTCAAGGGATTATTTCGGGGACATATACACCTGCCACCAGACACTCAAAACCACAGATACTCGAGTCCCTTATATAAAATGGCATAGTGTTTGCATATAACCTGTTGCATGTCCTCTGTCCTCTCATACATTTTAAATCATCTCTAGGTTACTTATACCTAATACAGTGTAAATGCTATGTAAATACTTGTAAACACAGCGTAAATTCTGTGTAGTTGTCAGTGCACAGCAAATTGAAGTTTTGCTTTTTGGAACTTTCGGGAACCCCCCCCCCAACATTTTTGATCAGCTGTTGATTGAATCTGCAGATACCAAGGGCCAACTAACCATGTTTGCTATTTATCACAACTGCTAAACACAGGTGTTGCAAGATATGACGTCGAAAGGAATACAGTGCAGTCTAACATTGAAATTATCAATTACCTTGAGCTTATAGTTCTCACAGTGCCTCTCTGAGTTACTGTGACTCCCTAGGGTGCCTCAGCATCCCGTTGGGGAATCAGGGCACTAATT